CAACCAGTATGGCTGCCAGCACTGGATCACCAGCAGGAGCAAACAAAAAGGAGAGAGTGTCCCCACATAACAGCTTATCCTAGTGTGGGAAGCTTGGGATACTCCACACTGCAGCCACATCCAAAGTAGACTACCTGTCTTGACTACTGAAGGGTCTCATATATCGTACAGTCCAGACCAGTGCATAGCCAAATCTCAACTGGCCTTCTGAAGGGAGAACAATGTCACTCCCTTCTCAGTATGCTAGTGGTTTTCCAGTGCTAGAGAGTTATACATCACTCTGTCCCTCAAGGCCTTCCACAATCTTGTCTCATCCCTCTCTTCTGGGCCCTGCACACTTTCCTCTGTCTTCTACACACCCTGCCCACATACTCCACTCCAAATGGTATTGTTCATCCTCACAGTCAGATTTTCTGTGACCCCCTCCAGAACGCTGCTCTCACCTTTCTCTTCAGGGTCCACATCATCTGAATCTCTTCTGTACTTCTTCCTTGACACCTGGTACTATTCCTTCAACACTGTTTCGTAATTAACCTAATGTCCTAGACCAAACTCCTTGAGGGGAAGGATGCTGTCTGTGGCATCCATCACCACTAGATTCACAGAGCCTCACCCATAATTAGTGCACAGTAAACACGTACTCTTTCCAAAAATGAATGATACCCCTAGAACGGGGCCTGACCGCCAAGATACCCAGATCTCTCCTAGTAAGCAGCTGTGTCCAAAACAGAGCAAGCAGTTGTGTTTACAAGCCAGCAGTATGTCAAGCCAAGGTGTGGCATGTTCATATAAACATAAGGGGAAGGCTTATACTGAACAAGGTCAGAACTCACCGAGTCACAGCCTATGGTCTGTCTAACCCCATACCCCAAATAGAAAAATCACCTCTCTTTAAAAAGTAAAGGCGATGAGTTGGGGACCCATAAATGCTTACAGGACTGACTCCCATGGGAAAAAGGTACTGAGGGAGGTTTTCGAGTGATGTGGATGGTGGACTGGGGACACTCTTCTGCTCCCTGCCACAACTCTATGCCTAAGTTTGGCAGAGACTTGAATGGAAGCCATTGCTCTTCCCTCAGTGAGCCACACACCCTACCAATCCTAAAACCATCTCTAAACTGCAGAGCTTGGCCAGATCACTCATTAGTTAATGATTCAAGTTGTTGGTGGTTAATTTAAACTTATAGTTATCATCAGGTATATCTCATAAACACTTGGGTAGTTAAAGAATTCACATCAGAATAAAAACTTCAATTAAACTGAACATTCACTATCACCATTTAGGGTCTTAAAAAAAACCCAACACAACCAAAAAAGAGAAAGTAAGAGAGAGGGGAGGGGAGAAATTGCAGCCTCTCAGAAGGGCCTCCTACAGGGCAAACTTCTAATTAAACAAATTGTCAATTTCAACACAATGAAAACTGATTTAAGAGTGTAAATTTAGTATTCTAGTCACTGCAAATAAGAGCTTGCCTTGTTGATCTCCTACAGGCTGATTTCATCTGATAGGGAAGTGAAGAGGAGAGGAAGACAGACAAGGAGGGAAAGGAAAGATACAGAAGAGGCAAGGCAAGCCAGACTGGAGTACCCTCCTTACAGAAACAACACCATGGAATTCGGTGCATTCTCTCCTCCAGCATCGCAGAAACTCTTGTTTTCACCCCACCCCTTCCAGATTAGAAAAAAAAAATAATGGAGAATGATGACAAACTTGGCTGAGCACTCACTGTACATACTGTACCCACAAGTCTGGCTGGAAGCCAGACCTGGCTCAGAGCCAGGTCTACAATAACAAACACAGGCTGTGCTAGCCAAGAGGGGGTGGGGCAGCCAGCAACGGCAAGAGAGGGAGGAAGGGAGAGGCATGCCGCTCGGTGGAGCAGAAGAAACAGCCAGGATAAGCCTGGCAAGGACAACTGCAACTATGAGGGAGCAACCAGGACCCCTGCCCAAGCTGGGGTTCACTTCTCCACAGCTGTTCTTAAAAAAAAAAGGACAAAATCAGGTTCCACAGGCCCTTGGACAACTATTCATCTCACCAGCTCCAACTCTCTGCCCTCTATAAAATGGGTCTGCACTATAGATAGATATAGATATAGATATAGATATAGATATAGATATAGATATAGA